AATCTAACACAAATATACGAGCATATGAACATACAAAGAGGAAAGAATCAACATATCACAAAAACTAAAACTAGGGTTTCTGATTTACTTGGTTTCCCCTTATTATTCCCCGGAGAACAAGGGCCTCTAATCACCAGTCCACGTTCCACCACCAACTCAAGAAGGGCTTCCACCAGTCGACCACCGCACACCGGACAATCGGACAGTCCACAGAGACTCAGAGTCTCATACAGTCAGACTCTCAGTCTCAGAGAGGTGAGACGACTGTGAGAGACTCAAAGGAATGAGAGATTGAGAGGATGAGATTGAGAGGAGTAGAGAGCAGAGAACGAGAGAAGAGCTCTGAGCCTCTGAGAGTGAGAGAGTCTCAGAGATGAGAGATTGAGAGAACTGAGAGAAGAATCAGAAGAGTAGGGCTGCGCATCTGGCTACACAAAGGCTTCAACATACATATATACTTACCTCATACGACGTCGTCTAGCATACACAAAAACCTAACCTTAGGTTAGATCGGGTAGTCGGACGGGTCGGATGGGAAAAAACCAAATCCTATCCGACCTGCTTTATCCGACGTCGTTTTGTCTTCGGTTCGGATTAAGCTAATCGGACCACGGACGGGTCGGAAGGGGTGTTTTCGGGCGTCGGGTCGGTCGGGTATGTCGGGTTGGGTCGGGTTTGCACACCCCTACGTGCGATGCACGAAATGAATTTGTTAAAATATTTTAAGAATATTTGGATCGATATATAATTGTATAAATTATTATATCGTATATTATCTAATGCAATTGATGAATTGAATTGGATCGATTGTATTTTCTAATGTTATCATTGCTTGAATTCGATCAAATAATTGCCCAAAATTAATAGTCAATGTGTAGATGTACGCATTAAGTGCTGAAACTTTAGATATTTTAAATAATAGTGTTCAATGAATTATATATGGGGATCATATTTAATTTTGAGTGAATTATTAATATTCATTACCTTTTTCAATTGGTCTAATTTATTTTCCATCTTTAAGCAAAATCTTCCTTACACATTCTATACATAATTTTACATCTTTATATATGTGTATTGTAATGAGGTCCTATAATTTTGAATAAAGATGTGCTACAAAATCAGTCACAATTAATTTCTTTTGAATCATTCATATGAATTGCAAGAACATTTCCATCTACCCGCACGGGTTTAGCTCAATGATTTAGTGGGTAGTATTTGGGATAAGAGACCAAGGTTTGAACCTCGGTGGTGGCCCCTTTTGAGGTAAGAACATTTCCATCTTTAATTACACAATTTTCCTTATAAATTGTGGATACTAAACGATTCCATTCAATTTTCCATTTGTAAATATATATCTTTACACAACTATATTTCCAGTAACATATATACACACATTTTTTAAATATTTTCAGTAACTTTACATTTTATATAACATATAACCGAGATTAATATTTTTTCCAGCTCGGCTAAACTTTTTTTTTTTTTGACATACTCGACTAAACCTTATAATTACACAATTCTTATATTCTTAGTATAAAATAACATTTGGTGTAAAAATTATTAATTTGCATATCAATTAATATTCTTTCCATCTCGGCTAAACTTCATATTTCAATCTTTAATTACAAAATTTCCTTATAAATTGTGGATACTAAATGATTCTATTTCATTTTCAATTTTTAAATATATATCTTTACATAACTATATTTCAGAACATATATATACAGATTTTTTTTTTAATATTTTATAAAATATATAACCGAGATTAATATTCTTTCTATATACTGAAATGCTCTTTCTATATTCTTTCTAACCGAGATTAAAATTATATTCTTTACATAACTATATTTCAGTAACATAAAAATTTTATATTTCCAGTAATTTATTAATATTCAAGTATTAATATTCATTTCATCTTTATTTTTTAATTATTTATTAATATTCATTTCATTTTGTGCATTTGAGTCAGTTTCAAAACATTTTTAATTTTCAGTCGATTATTAATACTCATTTCCTATTTCAATTGGCCTAAATTCTATGTCATTTTTATTCTCAGTTAATAATTATTTTTGTAATATTCTTTTAAATACTATAACTTCACCTATGGACATGCAGGTGTGGGTAAATGAATAAAACAAATGAATATTCAAAGCAATGTAAACCCATTAAATCTTTCAATTTAAACAAAAGACATAAATTTAAAATATAAAATCCATATGCTTATTCGTGCAGTTTACTGAATATGTTTATTACCAATTAATTATATTACCAATTATACTATAAAATACCATACATAATATTACCAATTATGTTATTACCTAATTAATATTTTTTGTATGTATTACCAATAGAATATTTAATTAATTAACTACAAAAGTTTGAGCGAAAAAATGAAATAGGAAGATTTTGTTTATATATATATATATATATATATATATATATATATATATATATATATATATATATATATATATATATATATATATATATATATATATATGGAAGGGATCATGTGCATTTGTTGCTTCCCGTGCGGATGTGTGGTGGATTAATGTGCGTGGAGTTTATACTTAATGTGCGTGAGATTTGTACTTAATGTGCCTGAGATTTGTACTTAATGTGCGTCATGTTAATATGCGTGAGTTTTATACTTAATGTGCCTGAGTATTGTGCTTAATATGAGTGAGATTTGTGTTTAATGTACGTGAATAATAAGAGAATTTTCACGCCTTCACCATAGCAGAATATCACGCATATTAACTATTCATGCACATCAAGACGTGCATGAAGTTTTTCACTTTAAAGTCGTGCGTGAAGTTTTGTTCAGAATGCTTCAAAGACGTGCATGAACAGATTTTGAACAAAACTTCACGCACATATAATTTTCACGTCATGTCAATATGCGTGAATACTCACCTTCACCATAGCAGAATAAATCAATTAATAAATAAATAAATAAACAAATCTCAGGGAGGGGGCAATGGCTACTGGGGATGGGGAAGAAGCTGATATCCATATTTTCTGCTGCATTTTACACATTCATGCACATTAAGTACAAATCTCAGGCACATTAAGCATAACACTCACGCACATTGTGTACAAATCTCACGCACATTAATCCACCGCACATCCGCACGGGAAGCAACAAATGCACCTGATCCTTTCACTATATATATATATATATATATATATATATATATTAGGTATTATTTTTATAATTAAGGTATAATATTATTAAATTAAAATTATTTAAAATATATATATCCACATTAAGAAAAATCTTATTAATTTTGGATATTAAAACTATATATTTATATTAAGGGTGAAATTATAAATAATTAAGTTTCAATAAGTTTAGTTATTTCCTAAGTTATATATGGTTAGTAATGAATATTTTCTATATTAGTTATTATTATTATTAATTTTAGTATTATTATTAATTATTGTTATTATTGTTATTATTATTAATATTAATTTTATTAATATTATTATTATTAATTTTATTATTATTATTATTAATTATTATTATTATTATTATTATTAAGTTAATTTCATATCGTTATTATTATTAATTAGTTATTTTTTGTAAGATTTTCATTTTCATTAAACAGTGAATTTTGTTTCCTTTTTCATTAATCAGTGAATTAGGCATACTTTTTAACTTGTTATTATTAGTATTAATTAGTGTAATCGATTTCCTTTTACATTTTGAGTGAATTAGGGATCCTTTTTTATTTTCATTTTGTACTAATTAGTATATAGTATTGATCAATTTTCCTTTTCTATGTGAATTAGGGATCTTTTTTTATTTTCTATTTTTACTGCTAACTTTTTTACTGATTATTATTAGTATGAATGGGTGAATTTCATTTCCTTTTTTCATTTTCAGTGATTTAGGGATCTTTTTTATTTTTATTTTTTGCTGATTAGTATTTAGTACAGAGTATTAATCAGTTTTCCTTTTCAATTGTTTGGGCGGGACTTCAAGAAAGGATAATTTTATTTTTAGTAATACTATAGAAGTATAGATTAGTATTTTAATATTATTACATATTATATATATATATATATATATATATATATATATATTTTATATATATATATATATATATATATATATATATATATATAAAACACACATATCCCACCAGATTTACAACTATTATTATTATTGTTATTAATATTAATAAAATATATTAATATATTAATTTATTTACTATGAAAATTATTATTATGTTTAATTATTAAAATTATTAATTTAATTACTAAAATTGATTCATTTTATTGTAAAATATGTACTGCACTTTTTAGAACCCTTCGCTTTTTCTAGTTCTCCGTAGTCTTCCTAGCTTTTTCCAGTGCTCCTCTAGTTCTCCGTCGTCTTCATCGCGATTGTACTCCATCTCTCTTCATCTCACATTTAGCCTCAGCGCTTTATTATGAAATTTTTTTTTGATTCTACGTAGCTTGTTCATAGCTTCTCAGAAATGAGTACTCTTAAGATTTAGTCTGAGTACTCTCAATCGAAGGATAATTCGAAGATGTTATGTCTCGGAGTACCAACAGTCGGAAAATATACTCACCGTACTCAGAAACTAAAAGCTAAGTTTGATCTAAACTTCGATTACAGTTTATTTCTTTGATTTTATATTTCCTTCATGTCAATTATATTTGGTTATGAATTTACAACTCTACTTCTTAGAAAGTAACTTCTATTAGATTGCACTTTTGGTCCTGTGAGTATTAGGGTACTGACAATTTGAGTAAGTGATTTTCAAAACTCCCAATTTAAACCTTTAACTATGCAATTTTTGGCAGATTTGATCCTCCGGGCCAAATTGCCGGCCAATTTTGGCCGGAAAAAAATTTAATGCTTCGAATTAATTTCTGATGAGGGTAAAATTGTCATTTCACTCCCTTCTTCTTCATTCTCCCTTTCTTCTTCGTTCTTCTTCTTCTTCGCTCACCGGTTCTATCCCTTTCCATTTTGAATGCATTGAATGTTTGGCTTCCACAGTGAATGCATTGATGTTTGGCTTCGTAACAACGCCAATTGTCCAATCTGCAGAAACTGCATTTCCTCGTCGGCGATTTTTTCGAACCCCGGCGGTTCTACTGGCGATTTCACGGCGGCCGGGAGTAATGAAGACGACGGCGTTGTTATTGAACTTGATGAGGATCTGTCGATCATCCCGTCTCCGACACTGAAATTTGCGAGAAAAAATCGGAGAAAATTCAGGCGAGTTACCAGCGTTGGGGATGAGTGCATTGACATTAGGCAAAAGGATGAGCAGTTTGCGGTTCAACCGATCAGGAAATCTTTCTCGATGGACTCGGCGGCGGACCGGCGGGTTTATTTGGTGGTTCAGAAGGAAGTTCAGCAGCAGAAACGCCGGCAGGATGAGATCATAAGTTCCGGCGAGAGTAGCAGTAGCAGAATTAACAAGAAGTCGTTTTTCTCTTTCGGGTATGGACGAGGATCAAAAAATTCAGTTCAAACTGCAGGTTCATTTGGAACCTTAGCTTGACGTCATAATATAATTCTTGTTCTTCTTTTGACTTTTTAGTGATTATCATTTATGTTTTGTACTCTGATCTGACGTTTGCGTTTTCTGAATTGAAACTCAAATAATATTAGTCCCAAAATGGAAAGGGATAGAACCGGTGAGCGAAGAAGAAGAACGAAGAAGAAAGGGAGAATGAAGAAGAAGGGAGTGAAATGACAATTTTACCCTCATCAGAAATTAATTCGAAGCATTAAATCTTTTTCCGGCCAAAATTGGCCGGCAATTTGGCCCGGAGGACCAAATCTGCCAAAAATTGCATAGTTAAAGGTTTAAATTGGGAGTTTTGAAAGTCACGTACTCAAATTGTCAGTAGCCTAATACTCACAGGACCAAAAGTGCAATTTGTTCTTTAAATAAATTAATCGCATGTTTGATTTAAATTCTGATTTCTATAGATCTTTGTAATTAGAACATGTATGTCTGATATATCAAAAAATCTGTGTATTTAACCATGGTGTGGTCAAATTTCAAATGCCAATTTTACGAATCTAAGCTTATTTTTGAGGTATACTAAAGATATATTCTTATGAGTCAAGGTTTTAATTCTAAAGATATCCAATTTATATTTTGCTTTACTTTTTTTATGAATGCAGGTACGAAGGAGTATACCAAACAATATTTTGGAGTTACAAAAAATGCATCTAGTGCCCTTGAACAGTGTATAAGATAATTAAAAATAACTTAACAAACAATGCATTATTATTACAGTAATAAAGATTAATGACTGTGAACTAACTTTTTCGATTCGATTGTACTTTCCTCTTGCTACCCATAACTGTTGATGTTGTTATCTTCTCCATATCTGTTGTTGTCTTGTGTATAGAAATCCAATAATCCTTTGAAAAGTAAAACTTAGAGATTTATAGAGTAAGAGATTTATAGTATTGATAAGGCCACTGGAATTTATATGGTCATAAATATAGATGCATGTTACTTTGTTAATATCTTGAAAGCTACCAAAAACATTTTAATGCAATAATAAACCTTCCCTTCAACGAACCCGTCGAACCGAGATTGATACTTCATAAGATGCTCTTGGGGGAAATGCACATGCAAAAAGTTGCCCTAAAAAGCCAATATAAATATACATATCTGATTCTAGGATTACAAAAATCGAAAACAACATGATATTAAAACAAAAAATATAATGAAAGACATACCTCAATGTCATGAAAAACACATTTTTTGCACTTGATTGAATCACTTATCCTACGATATCTTATTTCATATGTACATACACAACACAATTTAATAGCACATGTTGTTCGCAATGGAGTGACTTCAGTGGCGAGAATATAAAATATAAAGAAGAGCCATGATCGAAACTACAGCGAGCCTAGATTGTTTGCTATGTATTTGAATTGCACTCAAACTCTGTACTCGTGTATACTGTAATGGTAGTTTGAGATGGATGCTAATATGTATTTATAGCCTGGAAGAATGTAATGATAAATTAGGTTATCGTTATGGTATTTATTATATTACCAATTACCAATTATTCTTCCCAATTACCAATTATTCTTCCCAATTATATTACCAATTATAACCTAATATATATTATTCTAGAATAATACATTCCAAATTTCATAGTACATATTGTATAATTTGTGATATAAATATAACATTTATTAAATATTATTAATTATTAATTAATAATAATCTATATAATATCTATATATAAATAATGAATGATATTACAAAAATACCCTTAATTTTGGGGGGGGGGGGGGGGGGGGGGGGAATTTGAATAGGAGGATTTTACTTTTATATATATATATATATATATATATATATATATATATATATACATATAGACATATATAGATTTGTCTATTTGTGTTTGTTTATTCATTAAGCTAAGCATTAGTAAAACTTATTATGTTTTGTGATAGTATAAAATAATTTCAAGAATTTCTTTTATATATATAAGTTATGATAGATCGAGAGTTTCTAAAATGTTTACTGTATACATGACAAAATTGTATCTTTGTCAAAGGTATGATGTTATATACAATTCTTTCAAATATAAAATATACACACTATACTTTATGTTGTCCTTAACCCTGAAAGTCACTCACTTGCAAGATGATGTATAGAGTGTATTGGAATTGCTAAAGTTATTTTCCATTTTTTTTGTTGCCACTTGGCTAGCAAGCTTGCAGGAATAGCAAGCTTGCTATTCCTGCTGCTTGACAGCTTTTTCTGCGATGGACAGTAAAAGCTGCGCCATGAGGTAATTTTTGCTTTTTTATTTTTATTTTTTATTTATTTCTTTTATCGTTATTTTATTATTATATTTATAGTATAATATGAAAGTGGGACCATTTTAGAAAGTGAGAGAATATTGTAGGGATGTAAAACAAATAGTAGATAATTTATAAATTTGATGATATAGAAGTGGGACCCATTTTAGAAAGTGAGAGAAAATTATTGGGATAAAGATAGCCTTATAGTGTCATAAAGTACAATATGATTTGCCAACGATATAATTAATATTATAACAAATATTAAATATTATTTGATTAAATTCTTCCAAGCGGCTCTTTAAAACTTGAAATTGCATGTTTCTTTGGGGTTGATGTGCGAACTTAGATTTGTAGTTGTAGGCGTCATATTTAGTCCACTGTTTCAGTAAATTTTTTTAGAGCACAGTAAAATGTATCTGAGTATACACACACGCTCATACTAGCCTTACCAGGAACTTACAGACTAATTCCATCAATCCATCTAGGATAATTAAGGGCTAAAAATTACGCAAAAAATATATTGATGTTTTCGTAATTATTACAGTAAATTTAAAAATACTTGATAATGTAAATGTGAATAACTAACAACGTACTCATAATCAATAATAGTGTATGCATGTGTATACTTAGTTTTGTGGAGGCACTATCAAACATTTAAAAACATATTGTAAATAGTTAAAAAATGTCACTTTTTTTTTTTCTCATTTCTCCTTATTTTTCAGCCCTCTATCTTAGATGGATGAATCATATTAATGCAGATTCTTATGAAAAGTCTAATTTTCATGTAATTCGAAATTTCGAATCCATTATATACATACATATATATATATATATATATATATATATGTTGAATTGGTGGCAGACCAAACTCTTGGGTGACAGCTAAGCTTGTAGGTGGGGCATTGGCCCCTCTACACCAGCTAGCTTAGTTAGCAGCCGTTTTTCTTCAAATTTTTATAGGCTATATTTAAAATAGTTAGATTATCAGTTAATTTTGATTTGTTTGATCACTATTAGCTGTTTAATTTGATTAAAAAATTAATATAATTATTTAATTAATCAAATTTTTGTAATTTCAAAATGTTAAAATATAAAAAGCTGTTCAACGCAACTTTTTTAATTAACTTTTTAAAAAAAGAAATTATACTAAACAGCTATCAATTAACAACTAATTTACTAAACACTTTTTTACAATCAACTAATGTTATCAATTAATCATACCTTCTAACCCAATCACCTAAATCGCTATTTGCTAACAGTCATTTACCAAACATGTCATAGTTAAATTAAGTTACTTAAGATCTATCAAGTTAAATTATATATTGTAACCTCTATTTCATGTTTGACCAGAAGACAGCTGAGACTGCACTGTTGGCTAGGGCTGTTAACGAACCGAACATAAACGAACGGAGGTTGTTCGTGTTCGTTTGTTAAGGAATTTGGAGTGTTCGTGTTCATTTGTTAAGGTTTTTTAAAATCATGTTCGTGTTCGTTTGTTAAGCGTTCATTAGTGTTCGTTAACGTTCGCGAACATGTTCACGAACGTGTTCGTTAACGTTAATGAACACATTCGCGAACATGTTTGTTAACGTTCGTGAACACGTTCACGAACGTGTTCGTTAATGTTAACAAACATGTTCATTAACAAGTCCGTTCACAAACATGTTCATGAACACTTAATAAACAAACACCAACACATGTTCATGATCACAATTCGTTCGCGAACAAGAAATAATCTACGTTCACAAACAATAATCAAATAAACAACACAACTACAAAATTAATACAAATAACTAAAATACGGAATAAGTCCACTCGTAACATCAAAATATCAAAATAAAAATAAATCTCAAACACATAATTTGTCTGTTCACGTTACAAGCCAAAACATAAAAACATAAAGCATGAGATATTTAAATTCTGCATCCATCATCCATTCTTAAGTGCCCATTCTTACAGGATTTAACCATACATATATTACTGCATATCCAAATGCATTCTGAAACTCAGACTCATCAAGTTTTTTTTATATAACACAGACACAAGAAATTAGTAGTTCAATATACCACACTTTAAATTAGGAGATGAAGTCATTATTATAAGTTGAAGACAGGAACAAACAAACTAAAAGATAAACAATTTCAAATCCCCTCAACAATAGCATAACCAGAAGGTCTTGGGGGGTCTTCAAAAAAAAAAAAAAAAAAAAAAAAAAGTATTGGAGGAAGTTTCAAATCAATATGTGCAATTGGTCCATACTGCAATTACATCCAAATATCCAATACATGTCAAATTGTCAGGAATTAAAGTCAACCAAAATGATATAGAACTTATGAAAAAATCTTTTCAAAATACAAACAAGCATGAAATTAACGGGGTATGAGGGAATCTAGAACAGGAAATCAAGAATCTTTCTCCTGCAAAAAAAAAAAAAAAAAAAAAAAAAAAAAAAAAAAAAAAAAAAAAAAAAAAAAAGACATTTGACTCTAGGCATGAGAAGAGGGGAAAAAAAAAAGCTATTTACACAGGAATAATGTTTTCAAGAATACCTTGTCACAACCCTCTTCAGATCTTCCTCCCCCAGATCTTGTCACAATACCTCCATCTCTTGAAATCTTTGGTAAAGTCCTATAAGCTGTCCCACTTGAGATTGCTGCTTTTCAACCTGAAACAATAAAACATAAAATATACTATCTAACTAAAGAAATGAAATCATAATTGAATATTGCAGTCAATCAACTGAAATGGAAAATAAAAAAATCCCCAACCATAAAAGAACAAATAAACACACAAAGAACACACAAATTAACAAGAAAATTCAAAGAACAAATAAACACACAAATACAATGTCAA